GCAGCACAAAGAGGTGAAAAATCCCACCGCCTCAGTTACTAACTGCAATTCATCATCAAGCTAAGATACATTAACACAGGCAAAGCAGCTCTCAGTCTTTTTCCTTACCCTAAGGATAACAAACTTAAGGGAAGAGCTACATAGCAGAAACAGCAGGTTTTGCTGTCTCACTTGTGCAACTTGTTATTTTCACAATGGAAGAAAACTCTCTTTTAGAAGAATCATTGACATTCTCCAAACCCTGACCACCCAATTCTATTTTTTTTCTTTAGTACTTATTTTCACTGTAACACTAAATGAAACTCTCTAAAATAAACACATCCTACTTATACGAGACATGCTTTGTTTGTTTTAATATACAGACCATTTTCTATGTCTATAAAGTAAAGACTGGAATAATTTTGAACAAAAGTGAAACAACAGATTAAGAATTATCAAAAATTCAGCTTCCCAAATTCATAATACAAATGAAAACATATGGAATTTACCTATCATCTGAACACAAAAATATTCAGAATACTTGAAAAACTGCTTTATCATATCAGCACAATCAGCATACAAACAGCCACAGCACAAATTTTTCAAGTCTTTTCACAAACTGGTGTGTAAAACTAATCACTCATTGTCCTACTGCAAGCAGATTTTCTCAGTTCTTGTCTAAATGATGCGTCAGTAAAAATACTGTTTCCCCTAGACTCTTGCATAGAATAAAGCATAATACAAGAAAACATGTTACTACTTCTAAACACATTTTGGCCAATCATAGAGTCATTTTCCTACCAGAGACCCCATACCACAATGCCCAGCACTGTTCTTACTGGACACAGGTGCAGCACAGAGCTATACTGGACAACACTCATCCCTGCACATATGGTGCACTGCATTAACCATGCTCTGTTCACCAGTTAATGGGGAGCAAAGGACAAAGTTACCTTAGTTCCTCTGGGAAATCTGTTCTTTCCATGGGATTCATTCAGTCCCCACTAGCTCCAGTGCTGTTAGATAGGACAAATGCTTTCAAAACATGAATTCAACAAAATCCATGGTTAACTTCTGATTTTGAAGAGTGGCAGAACCACACAACTTTTTTTACAATTTCTGAATATTAAGTCCAGCCGTAAATAAACCCCAGAATAACAATAGATGTGCTTGCTTCTATGAATGCAAAAGATTAAAAGATGATGACCAGTTTTTCACAGTTAAAGTACATTTTCACAGACGATAATGAAAGATTCAATTCTACTGGGAAATACACATAGTAAACTCCTTAACTAGCTGGAAAAAAGAAAGAGGCAGTGCTTTAGGAAGAGGAAATTAATTATGCAGTTAGTTAGTTACCTTTTCATCTTCTGTTCTAGGATGTGGTTCACTGAATTTTTCTTCCTTAAAGCTTCTAGTCATCTCCATTTTTTCCATACTCTGAAAAAAGGCTGTTTTTTCTAGTCTGTTTCTGTTGTATTGTGTATTTATCTCTTCCAGCCTGCTAATCTTAAGTAGCTTCATACTATGTCCAGTTAATTTACTGTCTGTTCTCCTCTCCACCTTAGATTCATAAACCAATGAACACTCGTAACTTCTGATTTCTCCTCCTTCTTGGCTGTACAAAAGAAAGACAAATAAGAGGCATTAGTGTTATTTATGCATTTTAGCTTAGAAAATTACTGTGTTGCAACACTTCATATTTCAACTCTCTCTCCTTATACTTGCTGAACCAATACACAAATACAGAGCTTACAGCACTAGCTGATCACAGATACAATTCTACATTCAACATCAGATAATTCAAGCAGGCTACAAGACCGATGTAATTTAATTTGTTCACAGAAACTATGTAGCTCTATCAAATCAATACGTATTGCTGGTGCTTGTAGACCTTGCTTATGGACCACTCTCCACTGTTTAGCTACTTCAGTGGTTCCCTGTTTCTCAACATGTTCTCTTTTCTGTTGCAGTTCCTGCAAGTTAACATGCAAAGACCCTGCTATTAGGTCCATAAGGATTTTAGATACTAAACAAAGTAGTTTAGGCATGAACACAGCCTTCCCTCTCTTCTCACTCTTCTGTACTACAGAAATAGGTAATTGCCAAAATGGTGGAGATTTTAGGCCCTCTGTTGAAGGCTGCAGAAAAGCACAGTCCTCAGCTGGGTTCCCTCCCACTGTAGGCTCTCGTGATGCACCTGGTACTTACATGATGTAGGATCATTGAGGCTTCTTTAATGGTAACATTGGCTGGAAGGTTATTCCAAGTCAAGCTGTCAGTTTTGATTTTCTTTAGAAGGGATTTTATTCCACAGCAAGGTGTTGGGTTCCCCCCTCAAGTAATCACTATTTTGAGTATATGTTCTACAGTTTGAATATATGTTCTACATATATTTGAATATAGGTAGAATATATGTTCTACACTTTGAATATATGTTCTTTTGCACAAAGAATTATTTTAAAAGAGCAAGAGAAACTACTCTAAAATTCCTCTTAGCATCTCTGTGTAGACCCATGAAAGAGAAGACAAAAACATTTTCATTTTTATTATTACATCTTCCTTCACTGTACTGGAAATCCAGGTACAAAAGCACAGTCCTAGTGCCTTACCTCTAGAAAGCCGAATCTGTTAAATCTCATTACACAGCTCATAGTTTTCAATTTAAGTTGCATAAATACCATAAACCATATGGTGTAATTAAGTATATATATATATATATACAACCTTACATTAGAAGCACATAGAAACAGCTTTCAGTGTACAACCAGAGACCAAATTAAATCAGTTACTTTTACCTGAACACCTTCCAAGAGAAAATGTTTCTCAGTGTTTTGACCTCACATCTGTGCACACGCAACAGATTAGATGTGTACCTACATTAACTATCTCCTCTGCCCACAGTTAGCCCTCCAGACTTCCCAGATGAGAAAGATGCCACGTGATATCACATGTGATGCAGGAGATGGTTAGCTAGTGGTGACATTTAGAGATAATAGACAGCAATGGACCATGCAAGCAGCTTTCAAATAAGTCTTCCAGAGATATTTCTGCTACCATGTTATTGCAGTCCTAGATCATGCTGTTAATATGGGAGGGGCACAAACACCATCACTGGACTGTAAGACATTCATCATCTGAAGAAGTCTGTAAAAATATCCAGTCTGCTGCTTCTAGCCTCTCTCACCAGCTTTAATGGCTCTGACATCCCTTTCCATCCCCTTCAGCTGAAAGAACACTTCATGACATTTTCTTCCCCCATTTCTCAAGAGCAGGTTTTTGAGTTTTCCTAAAAGCTCTGACAATCGCAGGTGACATACCCAAAGGCTCAGCGTAACCTTTGAGCCATTATTCTACAGATTCTTTGATCTACTCCAAGCCAAGGGGTGATGCAATATAATCCAAAGCTGTCAGAAAAAAACAGGAGATGTTTCTAGATGCCCTCTTGCTGCCTCAGTGTCTCCAGCTAATCAAATCCTACAGTGTTTTAGAGTGGTCTGGCTGTGAAGACTGCTTCTGGCCTGACATGACTGCAACCAAGAAAAACCGATTCAGGCTCTCCATAGCTCTTCCAAGAGCACATCATCCTCCAGACTTTGATCACCAAATGTGCCCATCCATCTAATGAGAATGACATGTCCTAATTAAAGGACACGTTGTTCCTTCAAGCTGACCAGTGAGTCAGTTATGTGGGAAAATATTTATGGGATGGCAAGCTCAAACATCTTACTGGGCTCTATTGCCAAGCAGAGACTCAAACGTGATTTCCCTCTCCCCTATTATTATCTTAAGACATCCCTGAAACAATAAGCTAAACAATGGAAAGTTTCTAGGATGCACACACTGAAATTCGTTTGCAAGTGCCTCCTCCATAGTCCCAGAGAAGAAATCTCACCCGGGTCATATGCCACTGAACAACAGGAAACTATGACCTTCACATGGTGTGGAGCTCCATCTCCCACAAAGGAGGGTGAAACCTTTCTCCAGTCATTTCCATCCCCCCGTTTTGGCCAGGGAGATACTTTCTTCTGGGTCATCTTCAGCAAGCCACTTTCTCACTTCAAGCAAAATAACTTGCTTCATGAACTACATCTTCACTTACACACTCAGAAACCACACACACGTCATAAACCAACAGAAATTTGCCTGGCTGTAAGAAAAGGCAGTACATACGTACAGCCCTTCTGCTTTTTCTGCCCAATAGCAGAAAACTAATATATTTGCACAATAAAAAATATAAACAATATGGTAAATGTTTATAAAACTACTCAGAAATAGGTATTAGCCACAAAGAAGAACACATAAACAACCCCTTTTTGTTTCAACGTTTGCGTTTAGATCGTAATCCCTTCAGTCAGAACTAGATTTACATGACAGACTGTAAAGCATTTTGCTTGAAACTCAGTCCTTTGGCTTCCATCTTCAGTTCAAATAAAAACTTTATTTCTGACCCATCGGCCATTTTCTAACCAGCCACTTTCAAATTTTAAGCCTGGGGGTACTGTTAGCCAGTAGGCAGACTTGTTTACCTCCTCATACATCTGACATTAGGCTGACCTGAATTTTACAAGCTGGGAACTATTATGTCACCATGTATAATTAAACCTAAATATACAATTTAAGAAAGAAAACAAGATGTAATGTGGAAAGAATTACCAATGGGTCAAGTTCAGGTGGTAAATCAGGATGTGAATGGTTCTGCTTACTGCACCCTGCTTTGAAATACAACCTGCATGCCCTGCATTCTGCATAATACACAAGAGCTCGGGTTTTTTTAATTAAAAAAAATAGGAGGGAAAAGGGGAAAAAAGTAATTTATTGGTAGCTCTTCCACCGAGAATGAGGTTTTTACATATTTCAGTGAAAGACCCAGCGGGCCCCCAAACTCACAGACATCGACAATATTGATCAGCGTGATCCCATAGTAGCTCCCGCGGGGCACGAAAGCCCCGCTGCCGGGGGCGGGGAGCGGCGCCTCCCGGACTACAGCTCCCGAAGGGCTGCGGGCGCCCAGGGCCAGCGGCCTCGCTTCCTGCGCGGGCCTGGGGAGCCGATGGAGCCGACGGACGGCGCCGAGGAGGAGGCGCTGGTGCGGTGCCCGGTGTGCTTGCGGGAGCTGCCGGGCGCGCACATCAACTCGCACCTGGACCGCTGCTTGCAGGCCGGGGAGGCCGCGGCCGAGCCCCCCAGCAAGCGGCCGCGCCTCGCCGCCGCCCCGCCGGGCAGCAGGGCCGAGGGGGAGCCGGAGGAGGCCCGCCCGGTCGAGGGCCCTCCCGTCTTCTCCCTCTTCCAGAAGGGCCGTGGCGGCGGGCAGAGCCCGGGGGCCGGCGGCAGGAGGAGCGGAGCGGGGCGGGACGAGGCCGCCGTGCAGCCGGGGGATGGATGCTCGACGGCGGCGGCGGCGCTGCGCGGGGCCAGCCTGGCGCAGAAGCTGGAGGGGAAACCCCTGGCGGAGCTGTTGCGGCCGGACACGCTGGGGGATTACGTGGGGCAGGAGCGGGTCCTGGGGGCGCAGACCCTGCTGCGGTCCCTGCTGGAGTCCCACGAAATCCCCTCCCTCATCCTCTGGGGACCGCCGGGCTGCGGCAAGGTGAGTGCGGGCGGTGGGCGCCCCGCCGCAGGCTCACAGCGTGGAGGTTTATGTCCCGCGCTTTTTCACTCTTGAGGCAGATGAACTTAAAGGATGAGCGGGACCCGTTTCTTTTTGAACTGGCTCTTTTTTGTCTTACCGTTTCTTATGTTGGCCGGTTTTCCACTAGTTTTCACTTAAGATTACAGAAACACAACCTGCCTCCTGAATAAAGTAGAAGTGGTTCACCCCCACCAGTCCCACTCCCTGCATCTTGACGTTTGGTTGCACTGGCCCCTCTTGGTTTAAGATAATATTTTGTAAACTCCAAACCCATTGCCTAAAACATAAGCTGTGTTTTAGTCAATGGCTGAGAAGCTTAAAAGCAGCAACAACACAGAATCTGTAAATATATCTAGGAAACAGTGTGAGATACAAGCAGAGTAATACAGCGGTTTGCAAGTGCTGGGTTTGCTTTAGCCTACAAATTCCGGCCCCTGAGAGAAGGCAGCTCTGGTGTGGAAGGGAAGTAGCCTAATGGACAGGCACTCGTCCACCTTTAAATACTCTGAAACTGTTTTTTGCAGGATCTGACTGCTGCAGCTTCTCATTTTGCCTCCTTTAAGATACCAGGGGCAGACCGTGGTGAATCCCAAAAGGCCCTGTAATTACAACACAGCAGTAGTGAGGGAAGGACCAAAGGAATGCCTCAAGTGTGGTCAGGAGAGACCACTCTTAAGATCTTGCCTTCCTTTTTGTCCTTGTATTTCAGATTTGGGTGTGGGGTGGCAGGGCAAGCAAAATAGACAGTTATCTCTGTCAGTCTGATGTGTGCATAGCATTAAGTTTTGCATGTTATATGTATAGGTAGGTGTATTGGCTATGTGGAGAGTATGTGTGAGAAATCTGGGATAGGAAAAATAAGGAATTAATTCTTAGCAGAGAAGTTAAGGACAGAGCAGCAGTATGCTTGAAAATAAAAGGAGACTTGATATGGATGGTACTTGAATAATAATGCCAGTTAATCACAGTTAATAAGGCACAAGTATGAGAACTATTGATAGATGAATGTTGTTAGCAATGATACAGCAGGTTGTTTAGACTAGGTAATATGCACCCAAAAAGAACCAACTGGTGAACTTAAATAATGGTAATTTCCTTTAAAATAACAAGGTAATAGCAGAAAGCAAGAGCTCAGAAGAAATGGGGTAAAGAAGGGCTGTTTCTAAAAGTAATGAGTTTCTAAAAACTCATTAAAGGGGAGGTGAATTGACCGAAGTAAGATGGCCAGAGAGAGAAGTGGAATTAAATTCTTTAATAAATAGGAGTCCTCCTTACTGAATGAGTAATGCATCCAGGGGCTTGCTTCTATATTTATTTGTACTCTTCTGCCTTTTGTTTCATGTTACTTGTGTCAACAGCATGTGCTTGCTCTTTCTCGAAGCCCTCTTTCTTCTGGAAAAAAAGATCTGTTACAAATGCAGTGGTAGCATAGCAAAGGCTCCATACAGTCTCTGAAAACTGGCACTGAATTCAGGGGCCTTCGGGTTGTGATTTGATGAATACCCCTGGTTTTGGCCATGGACACGCTTTTTCATGAGCTTGTGACAGCTTAACAGTTGTGTTTCAGTACTAAGACTGCCTTTGAATGCGTGATCTGTTTTATGCCTGTAATATTGCACCTTTCACTCTCCTTTCTTATGACCCATCTTCTTCACCCATATGCTTTATGCAGAATTATATTTAGTAAGCTTGCTTCTCACAGAGTTTAAATTCTACTGCTTATCAGTCAGCTGACATGCATCAATTCTGTGCCTTTTGACCCATCAAGGAACAGTTCCACAATTTATCTGTTACTTTTTCACTCTCAAAGTATTTTAATTGTTGAGTAACTCGTCTACTTTCTAGGTTACTCCTTCTCAGCAAACAGTTTTGAGTCTACGTGTTTTCAGCTACCTCCTGATGGAACATCCATTACAACCAGAAATTCCTATGGCAAAAAGTTGAACTTTTTCCTTCACCCATGCTTATCAGTATTTCTAGGATGGTACCAGAGTATAGTTCTATCTCAGGCCTTCTTTCCCATAAATCATATTCTCTGTCTCAGGGAATTGTCTGAAAGTTCCATCCTTTTTTTAAGGATATTTTTTGTTAAATTCCTCTCCTTACAGATGTAACATGCAAGCAAAGTAGTCCCCCAAAAGATGGGAAAAGAAGTCTGTGGTTGCCTGCCTGTCCCATTCACTTACTGTTTGGGTTCTATGTATATAACATGTCTAAGAAAACATTTAATGAGAAAGTAACTTAGTGCTTGAAACTTGGAAGAAGCTGTGAGGGAGAAGTAAGTATTCTCACTACCTCAAGACCTGGTTGGAAAGCTTCTTCCGTTAAGTACAGTGTTTTTCAGAAGGAAAAATCATAAGAAATAATTGCATGTTATGTAGCTTCATGTGTGACAAGGCGACATGCTAAGCTCTGCCCATCAAAGACCTAAAATAGGAGCATAATTAGATATGTTGGTCTAAATTCAGAAGTGCTGTGTAAGATGGTCATACACTTCTTAAACCTCTTCATGCTCTTGCTACCCATGGAATCCGGTTATTGCAGCCCATCTATGCCTTCTTCCATTTCTACAGCCAAATGCCATGCTAACTGATACTTTTGCAAAGGGTAGAGCAGGACTAACTAAAAAAAATAAAATAACTGGAGATGGAATAAATCATCAGGGCCAAATTTCAAATCAATCTGTATTATTTTTCAGTTTGGACCCTTATGAGAAGTAGTAGTTCAACAGACTTTTCTAAGCAAGAAGAAAATAATCTTGCCTGTTAAAGTGCTATAACTGCAGTATTTCACATTGTAGGTCATGAGTACTTTTGGAGAATTTTAATCATGAAAGCTTAGGTACTGGAGTAAAAATACATATGCTTTGTGACTGCTTTGCCCAAGTGAACTTTGGCCTCAGCTGCACTTGAATATTCAAAAAAGCACCCTCAAAACTGAAAAGACAAAATTGATGTACTTCTGTTATGATCATTTCTCATGAGTTTCCACCTGTATTGAGTCCTCTTCCTTTAAGGGAGCATGATCTTTGAATTTGTCATCCTAATTTCTTAGGGAGCCGAGGTGCTCTCGGTGAAGAGGCTTTAATTCTTTCTTCGTACTTTTGTCACTCCTAAGTGTTGAACACGAGAACCTATTTTCTGCTTTTAAGAAGTTGACCACACACATGCCAGAAGAAACACTGCCTAAAAGAACAGTTAACTTGTTCATCCTGCCTATGCAAATTTTTTAAAGCCTGTATGAATCCTAATGTAATCTGAGTAAGCTGTACTGTGATTTATGGCACCTTAATGCAGGGATTTAGATTTTTGCTTGTCTGCCATTGGGACACCAATTTTAGTAAAGAGTTAGCAAGGGGACACAGCGTAACTTGAGCACTGAATAATTTTGCGGCCACAGATGCAGTTTAACCTTATAAACCTGAACATTCTGTATTTAAATACAGTAAACATTCCCTCTTATGTGTGTTGTTTAACAAGAAAAAACTTGATAGCAAGTAGCATGAACCCACTCCCTACAAAAGATAAGACTTTTTTTTTGCTCCCTGCATATTTATCATCCCTCTCCTCCAGTGCTTTCTGTTTTGCTAATTCAAGTGGTTACCTAAATGGCTGTTTGATTACTTGAGTGTATTTCATCTTCTCTTATTCATACAGCTTGGGGCCTGATTTGAACCATTTGAAGTAATGAGTTCTTTTGATTGATTACCATGAAATTTTTAACTGAAAATGCATGATGTCTTTTGCAGTAGCATACACTGAAAGTCCAGAACAACTCTGAAAAATGAATTTGTCTTTGCAGTTGCCTGGGAGAAGTCTTCTAATACAGTGCGCTTGTTTTTGCTTATGCCAGTCTAAATCAGGAATAACTTAGGATAACTCTCTAGGTAGAGAAATCTGGAGGAGAAAACACAATTGTATTGATGAAAAAAGTTGGAATATAAGGAGACAAATCTGGATACAGCAAATGGAGACCACAGCTCCATTTCAGTAAACATTATGCAATGACCTTGCATCTGTTTATGCTTGGTTGGGCTTGGATTCTGGAAGTGCTGTAAACCACATGTTGTGGCTCTTGTTCAGTGACACTTACTCCTCCGGTAGTATCTCAGTGGGCTATTTGGGGTGTGAGGAATCAAACAAGATGGGTAAGAATAGCATCTGCCCTTATATAAATGCCAACTGCTGCTACTTTTGATTGTGTTTATCTGTATAGACAGTGTCCCCGAGCCATGTTCATCTGCTATCCTGCCAGTTTCCTTTAGACACACAGCCAGAATTATCTCCTGTGACGCAGTGTGGTAGTTTGGGTCAGCTCAACAGTGTTGGGTAGGACAGACCCCAGCTTTCTGAGCTGCATGCCAGGGAATTATTCCCCTTTTTGGCATCCAAGAATGCTGGAAGTGTTGGTGTCTCCCTCAAGGCAATGAAACAGAGTATGGCCTTTCCTGACTGCTTTTCAACCACAGTATGGCCCTGGTGCTAGCAAAGGGAGGGTTCAGGGTGAGGAGAGGCCATTGATGGCAACACCTTGTAAACAAAGGTATGGAAATCCTGACCAGAATAAAGGAAGAGGAAAAAATACCCAGAAAGTCATGGTCAAACAGCCACAAAGAAAATCAGGATGCTAGTTTTGTCGTCCCTGTCACAAACATAATTCTCACAGTGGTTTGCTCTGGAACAAACCAGCAAAGTCACTTGCTGGAGAGACTTACGTGCCGGCTAGATTATCCCTACTCAGGAATAATCCATGCCCCACTGCAGTCTAAACACTAGTACCAGTCTGTTCCAGATCTGCTTTGGTCACTGAAACATGGCCTGGCAGAGCAAAGCGCCTGTGTTGGAGGGACCCATCCAGCTGGAAGGAGAGCTCTTGCACCAGTGTGCTTCTGCAATGTGTAGTGTGAATGTCAACTCCTCATGAAAAGGGCTGCGAAGTTGGAACAGAAGGACTATGAG